AAAACTAACAACACACTTGCCTTTTGAGGTTCATCAATGGATTCATCAACCGCCACCAACCCCTTTCCCCTAACAACGAGGAGTTTCTAGTGTTTGTGCGCAAGAATTACATCTTGAATCTTCGGTATCACATCCCGAAAAACGTCTTGGACAAGAGCTGGCTGCAACCTCCTGGCATCTTGGAAAACGTGAGGACTAAACCGCGACTTGGATGTCACAAGTGACACGGGCACTAGTGGAAATTTAGCTTTTGTCAGAGTTCACAGTCTCCTTACTAGAGTTATAGAGCCAGTGGTGGTCTGATGATTTCTCTTCGTGACAAATGACTGTCACGAGTTTTCTCGAGCCATGGCCCGGAGACCCCCGAGTCTGCAGTGTAGAGTTAGAGCTCTGTGGTGTAAGATTCCCGGGCTCCACCCCGGGCCCTCTGAGTCAGACCTCTAGGAACCTATCTGTAGCCAACTCCCCAGGGCACTCGTGACCATATTCAGGTTTGAGAATCACTCAGTGAGCAGTGGAGACGTTAAAGCCAGATGGGAAGCCCAACTGCTTTGACTGTAAAATATTAGTGCCGGGTTTTCAGTGTCTATTTGGGTCGCCACAGCCCAAGGCGGTGTGAGTGAGGCAGGTGGGAAACAAAAGTGTTCTCTACACAGGCCTCGGATCTGCTCAGGAAAATGTGCACAAGGAACCTGGTTCGGAAGTACTGCTGCGGGGTCACAGCCGAGTGGACAGCCATGGTAGGGACGTGGTGTCGGTGCTCGTCCACCGCTCCGCCCACAAGCCGAGGGCCATGTCCCGTGACTCGCAGATGAGCTGAAGATAGCCGCACAGAACCCTCAATGAGCGTCAGCTGACGTCAGTCAACAACCCTGTGTTGTTACCCTGGGGACTGAAACCTGAAGGTCCCCGTACTAGAAAGAATGCAGGCGGTTTCTGTGGGAGGCCTGGCTTTGTTACTGATTACCTGTAGGGTTTTCCTCTAAAGTCCCAGAGAGTAAATATTTTAGGCTTTATGGACCATGCAGTCTGTTAGTATTCGGCTCTGTGGCTGTGCAGGAAAGGAGCCATAGACGATGTAAACCAAAGCCACTGTTGTCCCAGTACAACTTTACTCAGAGAGCAGGCAGTGGGCTGCATTTGGCCCATGGGCTATAGTTTGCCCAAGTCTGATCTAGACGTGAGAGAGAAACTGTTCTCTGAAGTTCTGAAAACTCCACTTTTAAGCCACTGCAAGCCAGGGGGCCCACAGAAGTCAACCCCAGGCTCTGCCAGTGTAATTTTAGGACATTATGGCCAGAGCAACGTCTGAGCTACACCAGAGAGCAGCACAACAGCTCCTGTGGCTTTGCCGGCAAAACTACATGGTGCAGGGTATAAAGCTCTCTTTATGTATTACCAGATGCAGCAGAAGGTGGTTGCAAGTGAAATATTCAGGGGAAAGAAAGAGGGCTACGCAGAAAGCTTAAATCAACCCTTTGTGAACACCCGGATAGGTAAGTACATGTTCCATCCAGTGAGGAAATATGCTCCATTCTGTAGCGGATCCTAACAGCTCTTTCCTCAGCTGAGACCTCAGCACAGAGGAACAGAAATCAGCAGACAACAGCACCTTCTCTAGGGTTGGTGTTTAGCGATGATTTGTGGTGTTCTGGTTCCCTCCCCAGATGAAGGAGACATTAACCCCAAAGTGCTTCAACTAATGGACAGCGAGAAAATCCAGGTGAGGAAAGGTGTGGCCCCAACCCTGAGCAGGATTCCCTTGTCACGCTTCGAGAGCATCACTTGGACACAGTGCCGCCGGGCGGACTGGGTATTGGCAAGGGTTGTGGGTGACACATGACAGCTGGGAACCCATTGCAGTTCTTACAGTCTTTCTCTGTCATCCTACACACTCTTGGTTCACTTCCCTGTGAAATGCAGATACAGAGCCAGGAACGTAATCATGAAGTAAGGGGTGGGTGGACTTCCGGGTGCTGACACTGCCTTCTCCGTGGAGTGGCCAGGAGACCTTGGACAGGTCACTCACAGTCTTGGTACCTCTGATCTTCTGTGGTGGTGTGGATTACGGGAGTGCTGAGGGGGCAAGCGAGGTGAGGGGCATGAAGTGCCGAGGCTGTGGCCTGGCCTACGTGTAGCCACAAGCTGGCCTTCATCGTGCGCTGGGTGGCTGCGGTCACCCTTCTGTACCCTGGAGGACAGAAGCCTGTGGGACTGGAGGAGATCCTGCTCTGGCCACGGGGGCCCTCACGCCCAGTATGTCTTCTCCGCTGGCCTCAGAACACACCCATGAGGCTGGGGGGCCACAGCCTGGGCTTCCTCAGAGGTTAGAACAGTCAGGCAGAGCTGGAAATCACAATCTCCCATGCAGGGAACAGGGCGAAAAAAAAAATCTCATCAAAATCTGTCTGCCCCCTCCGAGCACCTAAGGTAGCTTCAGCAGATTCCGAGTGACAAGGCCCTGTACTCCGCCCCTCACCCCATGAACTAATGGCCCCTGTGGTGATGCTCACCTCCCTGCAGTACAGTGTCCCAGTCATCAAGTATGACAGGAAAGGCTTCAAGCCACGGCAGCGGCAGCTCATCCTCACTCAGAAAGCAGCTTACGTGGTGGAACTTGCCAAAATCAAGCAGAAGATAGAGTATTCAGCCCTCAAAGGTAAGCGGTGGGCAGCCATGAGCCCGTTCCATGTTGACTCACCTCCTGGGCACACTAGTAACGAAGAAGCCTGCAAGTGGGAGACACAAAGCAGTGGTGCCCGGCAGGCCCAGGGCTGCCCGGGCCCGGTCTGTGCCTCTTACTCCGGCATAGACGTCCGTAGCACCCACTTCACTCAAGTGTGATTCGGACAAAGGAAACCTCCCCCAGTGACTGGGTCTTGGTTCAGCTCACAGGCCACTAGCGTGAGGATTTCTGGAGTGTGCCCTCCATCCTCCTGGGCCCAGCTAGAAGAGGGTAGCAGGCATGGGGTTGTTCTCTCAGTTAATGTCAAGCTGCCCACTTCCACACTCCTAATTCTGGATCTGTCTTAAGGTGTCTCCACTAGCAGTCTGAGTGACGGCATCTTAGTCATTCATGTGTCACCAGAGAACAAGAAGAAAAAGGTAACTGATGGCCAGTAATCTTCACTTAAATGGAAAACCACAAAACCTCAGGATTAGAGCTATTGGCTTTTCTGCCTAACCATTAATACTGAAACCACGGTGTCCTCTTTCGACCCAGGGGGATGCCATTCTCCTGTGTGAACATGTATTTGAGGTGGTTACTAAACTCGCCATGCTGGTTAAGAAGGAGAACCTCGTAAATGTCGTGCAGGGAAGGTAGGTGGCATCATCTTCGGCTGGGGAAGGAACTCGGTGGTAAGATGGTGGTGGGCAGATAGAGGAGATGCAGATCCTTCCACCCATATCTGCCTCCTGTCCTCAAAGCAGTGTGGGGAGGAAGGCTCCACTGTGTTCCCTGGGCCTGTCCACCAAAACCTTCTGTCCTCGCGCCTCTGACCTTGGTCTAGAGACAAGCAGAGGTCAGTGGTCACTCACTCACCTCGGGAAGCAGTAGTCTTCGCACAGTTTCTAGAGCAGCTGCTTATGTTCCCAAGGGACACGGTCACCAAGGGAAAAGCAGACCTCTAGCCGGAGCAGGGCACAGCCATGCCTTTGCTGTGATGGCTGGTGGCACAGCTCTTTCGGTTGCTGAACCACAGCCTCACAGACCATTCATGGACTAGTCAGGGAAAGTGCTCTATTCCTTTGGTGTATAAAAGGAAAATTCCCTGCACAGAGTACCCTCATTTAATCTTTTCAGTATCTCTGAAGCAGCCGCCACCTTTGCACTTTTGGGTGACTCACGTGGCACCCATGTTAACACCAGCATTCAGGGAAACATACAGATGGCCAGGGAGGTTGCGCAGACTCCTGAGAGCCATTAGCAGCCTCAGCACTGAGCTTGTACGGGGCCTATAGCCGTGTCTGAAAAAGCAGGTCGCTCTTAGAAAGGACCATTTCTTTTCTCTGCTCCAAGACTGTATAACTCGATAAGCAAATTCATAGGTGGAATAAGGACTGAGTACTTTGGAGAGTTCTGTTTCACTGCCCCTTGAGAGAACACCTAGATCGCTGTAAGTTCCAGCACGAGGATGTGTACCTTGCTCCTCAGATGACAGATTGGTCCTTTGAAAACCCTAATGTGCTAAACTGACCTGGGAATAACTACAGAAGCTGCCCAACTGTGCAAAGTTCCCTTCTTTTGATTGCTCACATATGCAATGAAACAATAATTCAATCTTGAAACTCCAATAAAGTCTCATAACTAAATGTCTTTTGCAGACCAAAGGTGGGGGAAGAAAGCAAGAGTATGTCCATCATTTGTCACTTGTGTGTTTTAAGTTTACAGTTTTATATCACTCCTGGGAAAGAAGGCACAATAGTTTTTGATACTGGACCAGAAGAACAAATCTATAAAGATAAAAATGGACAATTAACAGTGGTAAGTGGCTGGGCTGGGGGCCAAGGAAGCAGTTTTCGATGAAAATACAGGTTTAAAAGGCGAGTTCATTTCTTTTCTCCTTTCCTGATTCTACATCTGAAAGACAGGAAGAGACTGATTTTTGGAAGCATGAATTTAAACACGAAATGAGGGAAAACCATTTACCATATTTAGTTGTGAGGGAAGCAGAAGTTGACATCAAATACTTATCAGTCCAACCTTTCACTGGGTGACAGGGATTCTCAAACTCATCTCCACACTGAAATCCATGCGCTTGAGTTTCCCTTAGATGCCGTCGTTTTCCTGGCTGGCAGCGTGGCCTAGGCTTCAGAATTTCAGGTCTCAGATCTAAAGAACACAGAGGTTTGGGAATCGCTGCCACCTTGTGAAGAACCTGAGCACACAGGTGACTCAGTCCTCCTTGACTGCGCCCCCATATCGGGCTGAGGGTCCCAAGAGTCACAGTACAGCGTGTGCTTGGATCCAGAGTTCCCGGGAAGTGACACGTTCAAAGCAGAGAAGGCAGAATCGTTACAATGTGTATTGTTTATACCAAGAATGGATATAAATTAAACAATGAATTATCACCTGTATTATTTAGCTATTTACATATTTATACAATTTTTCATAGACATAAATATGACACAAGTGTCTTTCACTGCCTAATGGGTCCCCTCCCCTTCAGGGAGTTAAAGCTCACTGGAATGTAAGTCATGAGGTGCATTTTCAGTTTACAGGCTATGCTGTCTTAAACCTGAAACCTGAATCTCTCACAGTCTCTTCCTCCTCCACTGGCTCAAGCTAAAGATGCCAACAAGCCTCACTGAGCCGCTTTCTAAAGCCAGCCTGTTCCCTAGGAGGTGGAGCTGGTTTCTCAGCTCATCCGCCCACCTTGGCCAGGCAACTGCTTCCTCCCCAGAGGGGAGCTGTGAGGGGCACAGATTTCGCTTAATGGTTTCACCACCTGCCTCTCAAGCACAAGAGCCTTAGTTCAGTACCAAAAGTAAAAACGGGGGAGCCGTGAGGTTCTGAAGTCAGGGTGACTCTCCCCAGGTGTCGGTGTGGAGGGAGTCCTGATGGCGGGATGCATCTGAGTTCTATCAATCCTGTTTCTGTCCAACTGAGGCAAGCACCGGGGAAGCAGGAATTTGACCCAGTTAGCTACGTCTGCAAGAAAAAACATGCCAGTGGCTCTTCGGAAAGCATCACATCTGAAGACACCGAGTAACATGCTCTGCCAAAGCCTGACCCCAGCTTCTCAGCTGCCAGGTGGCGCTGTATTAAAATGTCTTCTGGGAGCTGACCTCAAGTCGTATAACAGGGTATTTTTATACATCCCAGGAAGGACCTACACTCGATGGGCACTCAGCATGGCACTGTTGGGTGTGAACTGGACACGCTGCCTTTGTCCAGCTACCCGAGACACAATGAAATACTACATATGGTCTGAGAGGAAGCAAATGAAATCTCACAAAGCTGCAAATTTTGAATGTTTCTTTAAACAAAGGGAATTTGCAAGTTTCAAGGAATTGGCATACATTTCTGCAGGCTCTTTAGGTGCCAGTTATTAAGTGGAGTACCCCAGCCCTTCCACGTTAAATCAGTGGCAACACCAGCGGATTCATTCTGCTTTTTTATGAGCCAGCCAGCATCTTCATCGAGACTTCCTTTCAGTGTTAAATTCAAACACTACAGCAAAATGACTCATCTTTTCTTTCCACCGTGAGCAATTTCAAGGTGACAAAGGAGAATGTAGGAGCTCTTCCTTGCTCTGTTATCAGTGGCTCCACTGTGCTGCGCACTTCAGAAAAGACCCAGGAAATAGATTTAAATAGAAGCATGGTATAAGTTTTATTTTTTACATATGTCCACAAATGCTTGTAAAAGAGAAACAGTGACTACTTCCAAAACTTACTGCATTTTTGTCATAGCACAGAGAGAAGAGAAAGGTTAATGACATGCTGAAATGTGTTACAGTGACTTGGGGTGAAGCCCTAAAGATAACATGGGGCTGGGGGTGGCACATGTAGGTCCCCAACAACAAATACAAGGTCTGGGTGAACACACCCGCACCGGGACCAGGGGCCTGCGAGGTCACCAGTGCAGCCACCACAGGAAGGCAAGAGAAAGGACACGCAGGGCCTGTTTCAGACCCCCAGCCTCCATCAGATGACTTACTCAAAACAAAAATTGAGCTTGATTACCATGGAGCAAAAGCTGTTCTCATTTTTACCTGTAAGCTTTTACAGTGAAATAAAACCTTACTACTTCAGCAAATCTTACACCAGTGTTTTACTTAGACGATTCATAAATAAAATTATTGACTTCTGCCCTTAATGCTAAGATATGAAAAGTCCCTTTCCTTGTGAGTCTTATTTGAGCAGAGCCTGGACCAGCCAATACTTGTCTGTCAGCTTCTGGCTACACGCAGCTGACAGAATCATTCACCGCAGAATGTTTTATAAACCTCTTTGTATCCCTGGGAGGCAGAGATGCAAACTTACAGGTGCAAAGTTGAAGGGAGAGTGAAGGTACCAAGAGTTGCCAGAAATGGCAGGTCATAAGGCATACGTATATGAAAGCCGAAACAAATCAGACTGTTTCACAAACTTATCCACACAAACACTTACAAAGCAGAATTTATGCAATGGCTTTTCCATTCCTACAGAAGACATCAGAACAGACATTCACTTTAACTTTAAAAATGTTTAACCCAAATGGCAGGGTTGACGTTTAAAACTCAAAAACAGTATAAAATATTTAGGAAACATTATTTTGTAAGCTCCCTTTCCATAGCACTTAATAAAATCCAAAGAGCCTCATATAAAAGTTTCCTACACAACAGTTTAAAAAGCATCTACCCAACACATTTTTAGGTTCAGTCTTGATTGTTTTAAAGTTTAAATATTGTAGGCTTTGCTAATGGATACAAAAGAAAGGCAGACAACTGTCACAGGTACAAAGTCTAAGCTGTAAAAACCGTTGCAAAATAGAAACTCGTTTTTTAGACACAGGTGTCAAAGGCTGCCCATGTTAATACCTTTGGTATAAAACAAAAATGATTCCTTGCTAAGCAAACAAAACCCATCCAATACCTGCCACATACTCACATCTCCTTGTAGCTACTCTAGTCTAGTCTCACCACCCACATCAGTCAGCATTCACTTCCGTTCCTGCGCAAGTGCAGAGGAAGCAGGGAGGTAGGTAACTGAGAACGTCCGTCCTAATGAGCACCGTGCACAGCAGGCTCCGGCTCGGGCCACCTGTGCCCCACAACACACATCCTCACTAACAGTCGCACACATTCCCTACACAAACATGAACACAGGCACAAACTGGACCCAAAGGTATCTGCACATCCTCTCAACCTGTTCACCGATGGCCACTCTAGTCTGCATAGAATCAGAGACAAAGGCAAGAAGGGATCTCCAGGTGACCCTGTGTTACGGCAGGGAAGCCACCCGAGACGTGGGCTGGTGGTATGAGGGGTGCCTGGCTGGGAGGACAGAGTCTGGGGCCACGGTGAATTCCTGACAAAAGGGCAAGGCACCCACCTGCTGAAGCAAGCCCGAGTCTATGAGGGAGAGGGCCAGGGAGAAAGAGTGGATGCTCTGGAGAGGCAGAGTGTGAGTTACCTGCAGCAGGGCCGGGTGCCCTTCCTGGAATGGAGCAGATCAGCAGGGTCACCAGGTAGAAGGGGCAGGAGCCAGGAAGGGAGCTGGGCACTCGCTGCCAGAGAAAACTCCACTCCTTGCCAGCAAGCACCAGATCAAAGATCAGCCAAGGCAGCGAAGGTTTTATACCCAAAGATGTACGAAAATAAAAGCATTAGAAGCAATTAGACTCGGTAGGTCACATTTTCCAAGCCACAAGCTGAAAGTATTTATCAATAAGCTCCAGGCATAGACCCACACTGCAGAGTGGATTCCCAGGAAAGCTGGATAAACTGTGCCTAGTCGGAAGGCACAGGAGCCAGAAGCCAGGCGGTTGAGAGTAGGGGGTTGGGAAACGAACAGCTCAGACACCTCTGGTGGCCACCACCTGCGGAGCCCCTCTCGGAATTGTCAAACTGAAACCTGAAGGAGTGTCACTCAAGAAGCCCTAGTAGGTAGTCAACACCCACAAAAATAAATACTGCAAACAAAGTTCTCCCATACACTTCACACTCATTCATACTTTTCCTCCGAGAACCAACAAAGCCTGGCTCCAGATTCTCATGAAAAGTAGACACCTTGGACGCAGCTTGTTCAGCAACTACAGGGGTGTGTACACCTGGGTCAAGGCAGGAGCAATTCACCTTGTCGAGAAATATCAAAATCGTTATCTGGCTTATTATAAAAATATGTCCAGGCTGCAGGGGAAGTAGAAGGTGCCTGGGAGCCTGCAGAGGATGCGTGTGGCAGGGTGGGGAGGAGGCAGGGGAAGGCGGCTGGGTCCACTGGCCAGCTCACTGGTGAAGATGGGTCCGGTCGTCCGGACGCTTGATGTGGATCCGCCGCACACGCTCGATCCTCTCCCGCTCCCGCTCCTCATCCTCATCCAGGTGATGGGAGCGTCCAGCTGCACCGCCTGTGGCCTCCAGGAGAGCATTGTCAGGTCCCCGGCCATCTTGGGCCTCATACAGCAAAATATTCAGGGTCTCCTCATAAATCCGGGCTTCAGGGAACTCAACCTGTGCCCCACAAAATACAGGGACACGTGTTAGGGTAGCACACACACAGCCCACCCCCTCAGCCACCAGCTGTACTTTTTTTGTTTTTGTTTTTTGAGACAAGGTCTCACTATGTAGTTGAGAACTACATAGTTCTCAACTGACCTGGAACTCACTCTGTAGCCCAGGCTGGTCTCGAACTCACAGTGATCCTCCTGCCTCAGCCTCCCGAGTGCTGGGATTACAGGTGTGTGCCACCTCACCCAGCATCACCACCTATACTTCTGAGCAGGGCTACCAGGCTAAGGAGGGCTGGCAGTGCTAATGAAGACTGTCACTATTATTTTTAAAGAAATTGTTTTCAATAGACATTTATACATAATGCTAAATTCACCTGAGACCAAGGGAACACAGTGAAAGTAAGTTTCCTCATCCTCCCTGCCCTCAGCTGTCCCTTAATGAAGGCAGCGCTCAACTTTTCACCTTCTCACAGATAAACACAGACACACACGTAACAGAAGACTGCCAGGTTCTCACGCCCCTTCCTGTCTGTCCCTGACTTACAACTACACATCAGAGAAGTAGTTCACCTCCAATACGGCGCCACCCACAGAGCTGTGGCATCAGACACAAGACCCTCCACGTCTTAAAGATGGCTTGAAAACAGCTGTCTGCACAGTCACCTTCCTCCTGCCTGGCAAAGTGCTGCTTGCCTGTTGTCCCCCCACCACCACCAGGCAAAGGGTCCCTGAAAAGAGGAAGGCCACACAAGTGGGACTCTCAGACTAGACTTGGTTTGAAAGACAGGACTCCAAGGTTTCCAGAGCAATGGAGTAAGCACACTCCCACCTTTTCTTTCTCACTGACGCTACCAAAGTAGGTGAGGATGCACACAGCAGCAGTGAGGACTGAGAGTAAGAGCCCCAGAGGAACCTGGGGAAGGAACAGCACTGGAGGTAACCCCAACCAGCGGTGTAAACCCCAGCTGCCCCCTGCTCCCCTCATCAATGCAGGCTGAAACCCGATATGGGCCCCACCACAGCACTCCAGGTCTCTGGTGACCAGAGGAGCCGACACAGTCTAACATGCAGAGTGGGAGGAAATGGGGGTAATCCGTTCTGTCCTCTATTCTCTCCCCTAAGAAACCCAGTGTCAGCAACCAGAGACTGCAGGAGTCAGAACTTGGTGGTGCTGGGGATACACCCAGAGCCTCACCCATGCAAAGCAAGCTCTCTGCTACTAAGCCACACGCCCAGTCAAGGGGCTTGCTTTAACCATAAGAAGGGCTCTGGTCTCAGGGTCAGCAGGGAGCCAGGCAGGGTGTTGCGTGACTATCATCCTAGTATTTGGGATGCTGAGACAGGAGGACTGCCTCCTGGAATCCTGCCTGAGCTACACAGTGAGTGCAAGACCAGCCTAAACTACATATGAGACCCTGTCTCAGGGGAAAAAAAAAATCAAGGTTGGGAGGAAACTGCTGCATTTTTTGCAATCTTCATGCTGGGTGTCCTCAGATACAAACTCAATTGTGAAAAGTGGATAACAAAAACCCCAGCATCAAAAGCCCCAGCTCAGTTCATGAGAAGTTGGTAACAAAAGCCCCAGCCCTGTGTCACCTGCCTGGCTCCCTCCTGACCCTGAAAAAAGGAGGGAGAGCCAGAGAAGCTTCAAGTACAGGAGAGTCTGTAAAAGGAAAATGAAGTCAAGGAAGTGGCTTTGAAAGGTGTGCAAAAAGAGCAGGACTCACCCGAAGGAGCACACACTCACTGGGAGAAATGATCGGTGGGACTGGCCAGAGCGTGGCACACAGTGGGGCAGGTCTGAAGGCTCTGAACACTCAGCTGTCGTTGGAACAACCACGCCTGGAAGGGGGCTGAGCCTGAACCCAAATGGGTCATCTACCCTCCAAAAGGAAAATGCCACTATTCTCCCTAGGAACTAAACAGGAGTCCTATAATGTGACATCCAAAATGTTCAGGACACAATTCAAAATTACTGGATATATGAGGAACCAGGAAAATCTCAGCTCCTAAGGAAAAAGATATCAACAAACGTCAGTCCCAAGAAACCCAAAGAGGCTGAAATCTGACAAAGACCTGAAAGCAGCTATTATAAAAATGTCCCAACAAGAGCAATGCTCCTAAAGCAAATCAAAACACAGGAAGTCTTGGCCAAGAGTCAGAAGGTGAAGGAACCCAAGAAAAATTTTAGAACTAAAAAAATACAATAACCAAAACAAGCATCAAACAAAAAGAAAACACTTGATTCACTGGAAGAGTTCAACGACAGCAAAGAAAAAAGAAATTCTCAGGAGAAAAGAATGAGAGGGCGCCAGGAGGGGCACAGGCATTTCTCGTCCCCTTGCCATTTCTTTCAGTTTAACTCAACTATTTCGGCAGCTGGTGCCCTGCCATTTCTGAGAGAACTGAAACTCAGCAGTGTGGCACCTCAGTTCACGAATGCTTTTGTTTGCAAACAATTTGGTTCACAAACAGAAGTATTTGGCAAAATTTTTTGTTCACAAATTCTACATCGGGTGATGAACACGACCATGGGCACCCTTCCCACACAAACAGGAACGTGGCCTCTTTCCAGAACTGTGGAATAAATTAAGTTCATGAACCGAGGCACCACTGTATTTTCCCCTTTTTGGCTATGTTAAAAACAATCTCTATCTTTTAGGTATATTGTGAATACGATAATTACAAATAAAACAGGTGGTCAAATTTACCCTGTGTGTGGGAAATGGAGGTACAGGCAGAGCACAGAGCCACCGTGACCTAGGGGCCACTGAAGCTGGGTGAAGGGTACACAGGAGATCACTGTACATGTCTACTTCTGTGTATCACTGACATTTTCATGTTTAAAAAGGGAAAAAGGCCCTGGTTTCCACTTTGTGGTATGATTTTCTCGTTTGCATTTTGCCTGAGGTCAGCTCCAAAATCCACAGAGCTATCTGCCTCCTAAAGCTGCAGGGACAATAGTAACCTGAGCAAGTGAGTGACAAGACTACACGGGTGATCAGAACATGACAATCAGCCTGTGGCCAACCTACCATATGCTACAGATAATCGTATTTCCCTCAGACAGGCTGAGAAAGAAATGACAGTGCACAGTGTGACTAAAAGCAGGGGTGGAGGAAAAGGAGGAAAGGAGAGGGACACAAGAGGAAGGGAGGAAAGAAAAGCAGGAAGAAAATGAGGAAGAGGGAGGGAGAGAGGGAAGAAGAGGAAGAAGGAAAGGAGGAAAAGAGGGAGGGAGGGAACAAAGGAGAGAGAAGAGAAGGAAAAGGGAGAGACCAGGACAGCCAGCCCATCCACACAGCTGAAGAAAGGCAGGCAAGCAGAAGACCTAAAGAGAGTAAAGTGCAGCAGACCATCTCTCTAGCCATACTTTGCCATGTGGTCTAGCTCTGCAGAATGGCTTGGTGGTAGAAGGCAAGGGACAGGTCAAGTCTGTTGGTCTGGAGAGGCTGATATAAAGCTGGATGCAGAGTCAGTTCAGTCAGGAGTCAGTGTGATCAGAAGGAAGGCAACAAGGGTGGGAGCTAAGGAAGTGCGTATCTGACCCCTATGAAAGTGGCAGGCAGCTCTAGGTCAGAGGGCAAGAGAAGGACACACAGGCTGCAAATCAACAGTAGGACAGGACTAGAAAGCCGCAGTCAAGATCTTGAAGGCAGCACTGTTCCTCTGATGAGCAAGACTTGATGGGGCCGGGCCTTGCTGGCGGGAAACAACGGCAGTAGAGGAGCATGAGGAACAACATAAATAGTATCACAAAGGTCCCTGGCATCAGACGGAGAAAATGCTAGCAGCCAGGTACACCTGAGTACAAGGACAACTCTGAATCCACACACATGACAAGGGAACTAGGGTGTAGCAGGACGGTCTGCTTGCCGATGTGGGGAAGGAGGGGTTGTTCTCTAAGGGATGTTTCTTGAAGACCTACATTTAAATCCTTCCAAGGCCCCCAAAGATAATAATCAGTTTCATAATGAGGAACCCCAAGGCAAGGAGAACATTTGAAAACCTCTCCCTCTTTCTGTTTGTTTTGCTCAAGTGGAAGAAGTCCCATAAACACCTGTTTCAGAGCAGCTGCTCAGAGCTGTCCTCCTGAGGCTCTTACCTTGGTCTGCTTCTTCTCAGTGGCATAGACGATGGAGGTACAACACACTTCAGCAATCTTGCGACCCTGGCCATAGAAAGACCAGCAGCAGATTTCATCCCCGATGACATCCTTTATGAATAGGACCCTTCCGTTAAAGCGCAGAGACAGCTTATCAAACAGTTCAATGTTTTTCAACATATTGTCATCAGAATTGCTGCAAAAGACCATTCAATAAAGTGACCACAGGGTGGTAATAACTGAATTATTGCTACGCATAGGACCCAGCTGGATTTATTTTCTTCTCTCTCATGTCACTCACGACAGTTGCACAAGAGGAAAGATGCTATAGTCCCCACTGCTCAAGTAAGGAAAATGAAGGTCAGGGAAATTAGGTAACTGTTCAAGGCCAAAACCAATAAAGAGCAGAGCTGGGCCTGAGAAAAGACAGCTCTGGCCCTAAGCTCATGCTCCTTGCCAGCATGCTCAAGTGCCTGCCCCGCACAGCCTCAGCACCTCTGGGCACAGGCACCACAAGAGGGCCAGCACCCCACCAAGCACCGTGGGGGGAGAATGGCACTGCCCATGGAAGACTTTTGACCCTAGGTCAGTTTACAGTTCTTGAATAACATCATTAAATTCCCCCTACGTTCCTCAAGTTTCTGCCTTAGAGCCCCATGTTCCCAAGAGAGCCAAAAGGCATTTTCAAAACCTATATAGATTGTCAGTGACACTGTAAAACGGAGCAGTAACTTTGACTAAACCCAGGTTACTATATGACCCAGCAATTCCACTCCTAGGTATCTACTCAAGAGAAATTAAGACATATGTCCATAAAACACTTATCCATGAATGTTCAAAGCAGCATTATACACTACAGCCAAGAAGCAGAAATAACCCAATGTCCATCAAGTGAAGGATGAATAAACAAAATGCAGTCTAACCATACAATGGACTACCCCATTCCACCATAAAAAGGAATGAAGTACTGATGCATGTTTTGGCATGCTAAACCTTGAAAACATTATGCTAAGTGAAGGAAACCATTCACAAAAGGAAACATGTTGTATGAGTCCATTCATATGAAGTGTCCAGAATAGACAAATCTATAGAGATAGAAAACAGATTAATAATCGCCTAAGAAGATTTTGGGGGGAAGTGATGGGAAAATTGGGAAGTGACTGCCAATGGGACGGGTAGAGGATTTCTTTTTAGCGAGATGAAAATGTCAAGTTCAAGCATGTTGGTTTCACAACTTTGTGACTATCTTAAAAACCACTGACCTGTGTTTTTAAAAGGTGAATTTTATGGCATGTGTGCATTAAACTTCAAAGTTCTATCTATCTATCTAACCATGTAGAGGTGCAGAAGGGTCATCCTCATACGAAAGGAACACAGGAGCTAGACCTGGCCAGTACAAGTGGAGTTTTCCTAGTGAGTGCAGATGTCTTTTCTGGTTGGCACCTTACCTGGTATATGAGTATTTGTTGTTACTTCTGTTGTAGAGCAACTTCACAGCTGGCTGTGGGTTGTTTTAAAAAGAGGAAGAAGAGAGTTATTTAGCATGTAGGTGCAGTGCGCCATAGGCTTCCCAAAGGGCTGGGGCCCTGCCAGACAGAAGAGGCCAGACAAGCACAGCTTGCTGGCAGAGCAGGGAGACTGCAAGACCCAATGGCAGGGGTGGGGGCAGATGAGCTGCAGCTTCCCATTCTCAACCCCTGCTCAGGTAGCAAAAGAAGTCTCACAAGGGTGCTCCAACGTACCTTATTTGAAGTCGCTATAAGTTTTTGCTCTTCCTTGGATGAGGTGATGACAGGAACCTTGCAGAAAGGCTCATAAGTGTCTTTGTTCTGCTGGAACAAAACATGCTTTCAGGCTAGGAGGTTTGCCTAGCATTGGATTTTTAAGGCTGGCCTGCTGGGCAAAGACAGGCTTTGTGAGGCAAGACAGGGCAGTCAGAAATAAGAGAGAAGGATTCTTACCACTGATGAATCAGGACAGGGAAAGCCTAGGAGTGGATTTTCCAATAGGGCTTCTCTTTGGTCAGGGCTGTTACACGTCAAGATGCCCAGGAAATACTAACAACAATGACACATTTTCCACAGCGCTGCAGACTAAACCCTCAACATGGTAGATGAAACAGTATTTAATCAAAAGCTCCTAAACCCCATTATAATAACTGCACAGGAACAAAAACAGAGAAAAAGAATGGGAGAGGTGTAATCAGTAGGCAAAAGGTATCAAAATGTCAAGGATAAAAAGCAGGCCACAGATGAGCAACGGGAAAAGTCTAGAGAGTCTTCCGAGAATAGATCTGAGGGTTGGTGGACACAAGGCAAGAGCAGAGCATCGCTTGCCAGGCAACAGAAGCACCAGAGAGAGAGAGCCCTACATTCGTCCCTGCCCAGCAGGAAGGTCCACTTCCCTGGAGCAGTTTGCTCAGCAGAGGACAGGGCTGAGTTACCACTCAACTCCAATTCAGAAGGCAGCCAACCCACCAGGCTTATGCCTCAGCAGACAGGAACTGAGTGGGGGACTTCTCTGCCCAAGGAAGGGCTTACAGATTCTGACACCTGGAGTCCTCATCAAAAAGGTCAGCCCATTAGCCAGCCATGAAGGCCGCTGGATAAGGACCACCCTACATACAGACTTTCAGTCTTACTCTTAAGCTTGAACGGAAGCCAACAATCATCAGATTATGCACGGGAACCCTCTCAAACGTGAGACCAAAACCAACACAAACAGCAAAAAAAAAAGGAACAGAAGCAGCCAGACAATGAAGGAAGCAGAAAGAAAACCTCACATAGTATCAGACAGATGAGAGCAGATGCAGCATCCTCTAAAAGAGATCGCCTGTTATGAGTAACAGCTTTCAGAGAACAAGAAAAAGCTCCTGGAAAGTAGAAATCTGACAGCAGAAATGAAAAATTCATCAGAAGTTAAAAAAATAAAACTGGACACACACACACACACTTCTGAGAGTAAAACAAATACCAAGCAAAATACTGGGAGCCTCAGAAGTAGTAGCCTCATGGGAGCCAGAGGGAGGGACTCCACAACACACATAAGACAGGTGCACTCCGACCTGTTGGTCAGACCAGTGTGAGACTGGCCCTTCTGAGAACACGGGGCTGAATTAGAGATATATACTTACAAAGTAAGCAAACGAAATTCCCTGATTCAACTACTAACAGCATTTACACTCCTCATGCAAACCAAGTCATAGTCTAACTAAACTTGTGATAACCTACGCTGGAAGAATGAGTGTGTACGCGGAAGCCTGGGTTTGTGTGTGTGTAGTAAATTCTAATTTTCCACAGTAATGTCAGTAGATAATTCAGAGAAGTAAAAGTGAAGAGCAGTATAAGAAAGTTATATGGAAATATGAAGGTAAATAGAAAAAAACTGCTAAAAGAAAGGCTGCCTTGGGGATGAAGGTGGCTGGGAAGGGGTATGGTGGTGTTTTTTACCTTAATCGTGCAGTACTGCTTGGCTTCCTAATGATATACATGCATTACTTTAATAACCACCAAAATGAAATAACAATGCAAATGCTGCAACATTCAGTTAGATTTACAACAGTTCACAATTCTCAAGGTAGAGGTGATGAGTGGCCAGAGCAATTCCTCCAGGAGTTCAGCATTATGGGTATTGTTCCAAGGGAGGACCAGACGTGCCATGTGGCTCAGGAATGGTACAAACAAGAGACTCATGTATACGGGTCACTGTCAGACAGCACCCCAAAGGGACTCTTCTGATTCTCTGCCCTGTTGGTATACAGCTTCAATTGTAAGGTTGCTGGCTGCATCTAAAAGCATTTGCTTTGTGGGATCTATCACCAGACCCGACCCTAACATTCCTGGCCCAGTCCATCTTAGGAGTGAAGGGCATCTGTGTATAGAGATGATTCTGGGCTCCCAACAATGACTAATGGGGCCACAGGAAGTCCCAAAATGGATCCAGAAAATGGATTTTAACATTCTATGATTCTCTACTGAAGGGCAGCACTGTAGGCATGAGATGATCCAATGCCATGGGGACTAACAGAGAGCAGTTAGGTGACCTGTGGATACAAGAAAGCCTCACAAGGGTGTCTCTGACCAAAACAGAGAGGCTCTAGGGTTCACTCTCACACATCTCCACGAAGTAGGAACTGTTCCCATTTTGCAGAAAGAGAAAATGAGGAAGGCAGGTAGGTTTGGTGCCTCCCCCGCCCATATAGGGAGAAAGGATGGTGCCTACTTGCAGGGCCGCCTGGCACTCTTCCACCAGGCCCTGGACCAGGTAGTACTTGGCTTCTGCCAGCAGCTCCTCGATCTCCCGGCGGCTCTCAGGCAAGGGGACAGCCCCATCTCGAAGGTAGTTGAGAATTGTACCAAAGTGCTTCCCACACCGGTCAATGAGGATCCAGCCTGCAATGGGGAGGAAGGGACAGGCAAGTTACAGGGCCATGCTTCTCACTTCTCACAGGAGATGTGGAACAGAGCTGAGTGACTCCTGGCTCCCTTGACCTCCAGAGAGCAGGAGAGCACAGCGTGTTGTGGTCCCACCTGCCCACCTCCAAATGGCACTGCCACAGCCTACTGACCTGGTGGCTATACACAGACCCAACCCTAGGATCCTGCAGGATCACCTCTGTGGGACTCCAGAGCCCCTGAAGCCTAAAAGCATGTTTCTGAAGTACCCTCATATAGGCCAAAGCTGCCTAGTGCATCATCCCTAGATAAAATGGGTCCAAATGACCAATCTCAATGACAGGAAAGAGGCTTCTGGGGTAAAAACATCCACTCCCTCTACAATACTATGTTCAGACTCTTAGGCAGCAGAGCCATTCTTAAGAGAGCACAGCTTCATCCACAGACTGTGACCTCTGGCTCCAGAGTATGACTCCATATACTCCCCAGCACCACCACAGGAAGTCCTATCTATGACTTCTTACAACAAGCATTTATTGGCTATTGAGAGCAACCAGATGTGAAACAGTGCTCTCAACAGACCCAGATGTCAAGCAGCTCAGTCAGCATCAATAGAGAGAACCTGTTTCAAAAGATATGAAAATGTCCTGACTGCTGACCAGTCAGGCACAGAAGAATTATTGGGGATGGAGCCAAAAAGACTACACCTCTGCTTCCCAATGTTCACTCCAATTTTGTAACTGGCTATTCCTGCCTGAGGGTTTTTGAAATTCCTCTCCTGAAATGCAATTTCCCCACAGTAGTATTCAGAGAAGTCAGGACTGGAGCCTGGAAGAGGAGGAGGCACTGAAAGCAAGAAAGAAATGAAGCAAAGACTGGTGATGTCTTGAAAGAAATAGGAAGCACTACGAGAAGCCAGACAGATGGTTAAGCCTCAGCCTTCTCTATCAGAGGACAACCTCAGCCAGCCAGACTTCCCCAAGTCTCCTGTCCTACATCATGGGAGAGAAAATATGATTGCATATTCCTGTTAGGAAGTTTAAACAGGGCCGGGGATTTAGCTCAGCGGTTTGGTGGCCTGCCTTGCAAGTGCAAGGACCGGAGTTCAATCCCTGGTACCAAAAAAAAGGAAGTTTAAACAGAAATCGGACCCTTTATGCCCCTGCCTTGTCTTTCTCCCTCTGTTCCCAGTTTGGGAGAAGGGGCCAGCATTTTCACTCCTAACTCCACTGTGCCCTGCCCTGAGATCCCCTCAGGTATGCTGGCCCATATTACAGGCACAAGGCAACAAGAGTCAGCAACATCAAGTACCTTCCTCAAATACCAGGTCACAAACCTGCCACTTCCCTCTGCCCCCCAGCCTCTCTGATCCAACCCCCCTCACCAAGTGTCCTTTCATGGTCTTAGTGCGCTATTTGATACTCATCAGCAAGTTTGATAATGAAGTTATCTCCACTGTCAGCTTCTGAAACTACTCAACTTTTTGCTGCTGGGTCTTTTGTTTAAGGGTGGTCCCCTCCCTCTAGAGCCTTCTACTGACACACCACTACGGTTTCCTGGGCAGAATGAAAGACGCCAAACGGGGTGAGCACAATGAAAATGTGTACCCTGGAGCCCAATTCTGGTTTTGAGGAAGGAAGAGGCCCTCACAGGCATGGTAAATCACACTGCCCTCACACTGACCTCCAGATGTTCTCCCACCCTGCTTCCTTCTACGTCTGAGATGACAAATATGGACCTAATATCTTACACAACTCAGCTACCCACAGGGACCCACAGCAACACAAATGGGTGCAGCTGGGCAGCTGGCTGGAGAGCACACCCGCCATCAGGGCAACCTCTACAGCTCCAGCCCAGAGTAGCTTGGCAGGAATGTGGGCCCAGGCTTGCTGGGCTCCAAACAATGCCAGAAATCCAGATTTTTCTGTGAAGTTCCTGGTTTTTAAGGTATAGTAAACTAACTCAAGAAGAAAAAGTCATCAATCCACTACTGGGTGAATAAAATACATGTGCAGGCAGAATCAGCCCTGAAGACTACCAGCTTAGACTCTGTATCTCCCTAGATCTATTTCCTCCAGAAATCTGATGAGATGTGGAAAGGTAGTATTATCTGTTCTTTTCATGGCTCATTCCTTGCATATCCACAGACAGAAAGAGTCCCAGAGAGGTTCAGTGACATTCCCGAGAGAGAAGGGGCAGGACTATGCAACAAAGAATAAGTAAGGAACCTGTAAACTTCAAGCTTAAAGAGAAATTCAACTCGGCTGCCCAGGGAAGAATACATCTACATTCTGCCTTTGATGCATGGACAACTCAGCTGCTAGGGAAAGGGTGAGAGCTCCCAAAATCAATCACTCAAGTGACAGCCCAGAGTTTCCATAAACGAATAGGCGGACTGTGACACTGGGCTCCAGCTCAAGAATGTCATCAGGAAATGCTTGTGGCGAAGGAATCATACTTTGTACAAATAAGGGCATAGGAGCCAGGCACATTCTCCATGCTTTTTCAATTAGCATTCTGACTTTAAAATATCAAAGCAAGAATCTATGCCTTAGAGTCAGCTCAAATGCCTGCAAGAAGAAAAGCAAACAGATAGCATGCAGCTTCCCACTAATGGAAGCATCTGTCCTGCTGCCATGGGCCTCACGAGCTAGGAAGAAAGGCTGTCCAAGTCCAGGCAGCTGAGAATGATGACCCATGCAGCAAGACTGGGAAGCAAGGAGGACAGGCAGAGGCTGGGAGGTCCTGGACTGGCTCCAGGATATCTTGCAGCATGGCACAGTGGTCTATATTGGAAACCCAACTCTGCCACCTACTTGCTAGATGGCATCGGTGTCTCACTTGAGCTCTTTTGTCTAGAAGTTTATTCTTCTCAAAGGGTTGTCATAACGAGAGGAAAATAGGATCGACAGGGAGCACATGGCACGATGCTGGTTGATGAGTGGCACTCAAAACTACCTATGGGTCTTTGACAATGAGCCTATCACCTCATCACCACTAGAGAACAGAGCAGCAGCATGTCTGATGACAGCAAGTTCCAGAACCCAGCAGAGATCTGTGTGGCTTTCACATACTGAGGGAAAGGTTGCTCTGGAAACCAGGGGCATTGGGCCTCTAGGCTTACCATGCATTCCTGAAACATACCGTGTATTTCTTCTCTATGGGGATATTTGGTGGTTGGTGTTTGTTTGTTTGTTTGTTTGTTGCAGTACTGGGAATCAAACTCAGGGCCTCACATTTGCCAGGCAGGCTACATTCTTGGCCCCTCTCTGGGAATATCTGACCTCTCCTTTCCCTATCCTACTCCAGGAGCATTTGGCGACCTCTCCTTGCCATACTGTTTATTATATTCTATGGTTTTATGGTTACCACGCTTGCCTGATCAGTTAAGATACAAATTAAGATTCTAGGACTCTGCCTCATTCCAAAGTCCAAATCGCTAGGGCAAGATCTCCAACCTACTGACATTTTAGACTGGATAATTCTATTATATGGGGTAGTCCTATGCACTGTACACTGTATTCTTGACCTCTACCCACTGAATGCCAGCAGCAACCCTACCCCCAAATCATGACAACCAAAAGTATCTTTGGACACTGACAAATGTTTCTGAGCCAAAAAATCAAGTACCACTGAGGCAGATCAAAGACCTACATGCAGGCTGGAGGTATAGCTCTGTGGTGAGCACTTGCACAGCATGTGCAAGACCTTATGTTCTATCCTCAGCACCACTAAAAACAAACAAAGAGGACCTAAAACAAAACAGTGTAAAATGTTGAGGTATTAACACTAGAAAACATTAAGACAAGGCATCTGCAACAGAAAACCACAAAGAAATGGTATACAGAATATGTACTTCTGCAAAGCAGTAAGAAAAAAGGAAAATGTGTAAATAAGATGCCACCTAGGAGATAAAAGACAAAATCCAAACACTCCAATCAATAACCATAAAAAGCGCTTAATGCACTAGAGATTAGGAAATGTAAAATAAAACAACAGGATATGGTATCATAATCAGTAGTTTGGCAAAAGTTAAAAGGCTCGACAGTGCCCAGTGCTGGCAAAAATCCAGACCACTGCTAGGACTGTAAACCGACACAACCACCTGAGAGGGGGTTCTGGCAGTATCTAAGGAAGCAGAAGATGCTATCCTTAAGTTGACTTCTGGGACTAAATTCTAGAGAAGAGCTCCCGGGGTTGGGTAAGATCTTACTGCTACAGCCCCTGGGGTAGAGGGGTAGGACCTGGGGAGTCCAGAACCTCACCATTTACCAAAGTAAACACAGGATCATCTGTTTGTGCCATGATGTCGCAAAGGTTGAGAAAGAATGCCTTAGAGAAAATCACATGTGCATGGAAAGAATGTTCAAGAATGATAAGATTCCTATGGTGAAGGCTTGAAACAATCTACATAACTATCAACGGCATACAGCTCCATCAATTGCAGGAAATATCTAGAATGGAACGCTCTACCACAGGCAAATGTCTGAGCTGGAGCTCTTTGTTAACAATTCAGTTACAGGCATATTGCTAAATAAGCTAAAGCAAAACAAAAATTAAAAAATTAGAATGTGCAAATTGTGCCCCCCCCCACCCAGTCTTCCTGGGGCCCTCTGCACTGAGCTGCGTCTCTAGCCCTTTTCTTTAGGGTCAGGGATTTAGCTCAGTGGTGCTGAGCCTGCCTCACAAGTACAAGGTACTGAGTTCGATCCCTAGTACTGGGGAAAAAAAATTTAATAAAATAATTTTTTAAAATTAAATAAGCTGAAGCAAAACAGGATCACAAACAATATGGCACCACTTACAGCATGTTTAAAAACAAACCATCAAGAGGACATTATTCAGAGCCATAAGCAGCTGTGGTAAAATACTTAGGAAAATCCACACTTGTGGTTCCCAACCCTGACCGCACACTAGAATCCCTGAGAGCGCCGCAAGGTCTGAATGCACCAGCCACACAATGCTCTGTCACACCCGGCTCTCTGGCCAGGACCCAGGTGCCAGTACTGAAGTCCTTGGCTGATAAACTTGAGATCCAGCTTGTGACCCCAAAGTCAAAACAGTGGTCACTTCAGGAAGGGAGAGCAGCAAACAGACAAGGGATAGAGAGGTCCCGGCAGTACAGGCCAGGCTTTATCCTGGTCCGAGTGATTTTCTAGGGCAGTACGCTGATAATAAAACGAAGGACTCTTCACTCTAGTTATATACTACCTAGTCCCAAAGGATCAGCCAGAGATGGGAAACCAAGCAAGGGTGGAAAGGATTGTACCAAGCCACAGGGCGATACAGGTGAGCACAGGCCAGTGCTAAAGGGCCTTAGAGAAGGAACTACACAAATCCAAGGACCAACGGTATTACTGACGAGGGCTCACATACAAATGCTAGCACTGGACCGGGGATTTTTAGCTCAGTGGTTCCACCACCTGCCTCTCAGCATAAGGACCCGAGCTTGATCCCCAGTACCAAAAACAAAACAACAACAAAAAAAAATGCTAGCACTGTAAGAACTGAGCTTTTCTGAGACAGGGAAAGACCTGCTCACCACCACAGTGTCCCCTCGGAGAAACTACCTTTGTCAATTGTAATGTAGAAATGATGCACACCATGCCTAAGGGCCAAGGTGGAGTGCCCCCTTCTTCACCTCCCCATTTCTGCAGCTCACAGGGAGGCTTTTTCCTTATATCTACACCCGTGCCCCAGGTGGGATGAAGCCTCTTCCAAGGGATCAGGCATTGTATCAAGTACTTTATAATGGCCTCATTCATACCCCATAACTCTGCTAAAAGTTATCCTTCACACCTGAGAAACAAGAAACAGGCTCAAACAAAGTCACTTGCCCAAGATCACAATTCTAGCAAATGGCAAATATGTCAAGATTAGCACAATGCCTGACATCTGAAAACAGTCCCACAAATACGAGCTGTGACTGTTACCATGTGGCAGAGCTGGGACTTAAACCCAGGTCCAACTCTTTTGCTGCCAGGCCCAACTCCCATGGCACACTCTTACCAGTTTAGAGATTCCACGGATGTGATGTGGAGCTCAGACAGGCCGACAGGCAGGGAACAAAAGGGACGCTCTTTTCTACCACCGTGAAACAACTGCTTATTTTAGACACCCTTTAGCACAACCTAGCCACATTCTACCCACACTGTTCCATGCCATCAAAGCCCCTGTTCTCCTCCTAGCAAGCGGCACTGCTGGATTCACTTGCCTGGCTGAACTGCACTTGACATTTCTGTCTGCAGCTGAAGGCTGCCAGCATCCAGGCCAGCGAGAAGCTGTAAAATGCAGGACATCTGTCCCAATCTGCACCCCAGGGTGCACCTGAGACAACATGTGGGCCATGGTCAGGCTGTGCAGGGCTCTGCAAGGGCAACAGGACAGTTTTGCCAGGCAGACAATGGCTGGAAACCAGATACTCAGCCTGACTGCCCAGGCCACAGGGACCCTAAAAGGGCTTTGGCACAACACCAGGTGTTGACGCGTAAGACTGCCCCCCTAGGCCACCAGTCAGGGCCATCTAGAAGAGACTTCCACTCAGCCTTCAAAGTTACTCGAAGGGCCGGGGATTTAGCTCAGTGGTTCTGCCACCTGCTTCACAAGCCCAAAGATGGGAGTTCAATCCCCGGTACCAAAAAATAAATGAATAAATAAAATAACAAAGTTACCTGGCTGCTTTTCCTATGTGCACCCCCCCACACCCACAAAAAAAAAAACTGAGTAGGGCAGAATAAAAACCACAACAATCCTGGGTTCTCAGATAACATGTTTCCTTCTACGGCTGGAGTGCTATTGTCTTGATTTCCATAAATACTCTCAAGCAACGTGGGGTGTGGCACAGAAAAGGGGAGCCTCCCACTCATAAAATGCTGTGTTTTCTAGGTGAGACACAGTTGGCAGATCTCCAGCTCCGACCTCACTTGACCAGAAACCCAAGTTCACAGGAAACCCAGGGAGGGTTTCCTGACCATCTCTGGCCTTCTTGAAGACACGGAGGGAAACACCAGCACGAGCCGGCAGTCCACGCTAGAACCACAGAGTAAAACACAACATACCAGGCTTTAGGGCCCAACCTCATCTGTGTGTGCCCACATCAGACCAAGAAATGAAGGACAGGGTTATTTTTAAATCTCATATGGCCTGTCCTAACAACAACCAGGTAAATGTACTCCTGGGCAGGTGCTCTTTGAAGTAGCAGTTCTTTGTCTCATATTAACAGGATTTTGAATACACAAGTACAAAGCACTCTGTACCAACAGCCCCACAACAGGCCTCACAGTGCTCAATTTAGCAGATGAGGAAAATGAGACATCAAAAGACAAAGGCGCTTGGTTAAGATCACTGGATACTAAATGGGGAGCTGGGACTCAAGTCCAGGTTTGTGAGTCTTTGTCAGGACAACATCCTAGGAGAATGAGGTACAGAGAAAACACTGCCTCTTTCAATCATTCTCAAGTCACAGAATTGAAGGGAACCAACTAGGGCAGCTGGCCTGGCTTCTACTTCACAGAGAAGCAAAGGGGGTGGGGGTAATTTTCTGAAAGGCACAAAGCAAATCAACAACTATGTCAAGACTCACAGTCCTTGTCCACCAAGTCTTGGCGACAGCATCACTGCCTCGGGAGAGCCCTCCTGACCACACCCAGACCAGATCCAGTCTCCCTGTGACTCTCAGGGCTCCCTGCATGTGGCGAGAACACTGAGCTCAACCAGAAGTAGTCAGGTGTATAGCTGCCCACTTCATGTCGGTCCTCTGAAGCAGACTGAAGCCCTCAACCACAAGCGAGTCCTCAGCACCTGGCAGTGTCAAGTGCACAACAGGAAGCAGACAGCTGGCGCGAGGGCTTACCTTCACTGTCGGTGAGCACCTCCATGCGCCCACTGAACATGGCTTTCAGCATGGTGTCCTGCTTGGTCAGCGTCTGCATGGTAGTATAGTAGAGGGCTCCCCCGACATTCAGCTTCACATACTTGGAGCTGGGACTTGCACCCTTGAAGGAAGTGGTGCGGGTAGCAGCCGCTGGCACCGCTGAGCTCACCACACTTTCTCCTGACATCTCTTCCTGCCAATGAAGACACAGGGTCACCACACCAGGCCTGGTTTACCCCTTTGAGCCTACAAGCTAAATGTGACCTCCAGATATGCTCTGCTTGGTCCGTGCATGTATCTCATTTTCAGCCAGGCATGGTGGCACCCACCTGTAAACTCAGAACTCTGGGAGGCTGAGGCAAGAGGATCACAAATTTAAGCCCAGCCTGGGTAAATTTGTGAGATCCTGTCTTAAAATAAAAATTTTTTAAAAGGGCTGGGATGTAGTTCAGTATGAAAGCCCTGGGTTCAAGCCCAAGTACAAAAAAAAAAAAAAAAA